TGCTTTTTCCCCCCAACTGGAGTTGATCTTCACCAATCCATGCTTGCTGTAAGAAGCTACTAGCAGAATCAGGAGGTCAGGCCAATTGACATGGTTGATGTCTGTCATCATATCCCTGCTGTGTATATCCATGTTCATGTCAGTCACTGGATTGTCTGGTCCAGACATGAATATTTACAGACCACTATAATAAACATATGACATGCTATATTTGGGATTACACTTTCTCAGTAAAGTACAGATTATAGTACTATTGTTGGGTTGAGTCCCATCTGGGATTCGAACCCACATCCTCAGAGTCGGGCACCTCATTGCCAGTATACAAAGTCAGTCACCTAACCCGCTCAGCCACCACGGCTTACTGAGAAACAGTAATCCCTGTTTTATAACATATGTTACATTTGACCACTTTCTAAATGGCATTGTGTGTTCATACTGTAATAAAGCATAGAAATTGCTGAATGCGGCCTAAACAACAATCTAAATGAAACATGAATCCATGTATTTGTGTCTATGATACACAAATATTTCTGTATATGTGTTTAATAAGATACATATATTCATGGGTAATGCTGACAAACATGTCAATGTATCTATCAACAAGACCATTTCTGTGCACACTCCTCCTTCAGTCTACATATGTTTTCTCTCCACTAATCAGTGAGAGGCCCGATAACCCAGAACAGATGCACAGGCTGGATACTCCAATACAACAAAAACAGCTGTCCTGGGGAACACAGTTTGGCCTGTCTGGGCCCCACGACAGAGGGGAACATGTAATGCACATGCATCTGACAAACCCCCATTGATGTGTGTTCAGTGAAGGATGCTGCTGGGGTATGGAGAACACATGTGGTGGGCATGCAGTGAGGGGTAGGGATGAAGTAGACTTACTTCAAGGCTGTACTGAATGCTGAGCCCATGATGTATAGTAATTCTATCCTTCGAAGAGGCAAGTCTAGAGAAGGTGACAGTACATCTAAGGACCCCAGCCTGTGGTTTATTATTTTTTTTTAGAAATTATCATTTAAACTATTAATTTTTACCTTAGAGACTTGTGCAAGTCTAGGGATGAAGCTGCATGAGTGTTGTAAATGTCAAGGTGAGGGAGGATATGTTAAAGCAACTTACAGACCGACAATGTTTTGAGAGGCAACTTCAGGAAATCATTACATTAGAAACATCCATAGCATGTCTGAAACTGATGTTTTCACCTTTTCACACACAAATTGCAACTACAGTTACAGAAACGGGCCTATGTTATTTTGTTCTTTAAAAAAATATATTAATAATGTGAAAGGTTTTGTTAAACAACCTAACAGACATTGTATTACATGTAACAGAAAACACACTGGGACTCAGTTCACATTCAGAAAATCTTGACATGTTAAAGACAGTCTCCATCTGTGCTCATGCGTGTCCTCCACTGACAGACAGGGAGACTCAGAGTGAGAGGCTATCCCTAGACATGTCCCCCACATGGGTGTCCATCTCCCCTCCTCCTATACACTGGTCAGAGAAACCAACAGGGTCGGTCAGTGGTAGAGCCATACCCTAACCCTCCACATGTCCCCCACATGGGTGTCCATCTCCCCTCCTCCCACACACTGGTCACACCAACTGGGAGAGACCATACCCTAGCCCTCCACATGTCCCCCACATGGGTGTCCATCTCCCCTCCTCCCACACACTGGTCATCCAAACCATCAGGGAGGGTCAGTGGGAGAGACCATACCCTAGCCCTCCACATGTCCCCCACATGGGTGTCCATCTCCCCTCCTCCCACACACTGGTCATCCAAACCATCAGGGAGGGTCAGTGTGAAGCAAAGGTCAGACACCAGATGTGTCTGTCAGATCCCACTGATGTTATACACACCGACCTTTCAACTAAAACCTGACAAACAGGTCCAGGAAAATATCATGTGATCGGCTTGCTGCATTTATCAGTGAAATCAGGAATTAAACAGGCCTACTTCTAACCCTAGGATTAAGGCCCCTCTCTTCAGAGCCCTCCATGATATATGAGCCCGGTTACACAATGTTTGATTCCCTCCTACCCTCGAGCATCAGGACAAGAAAACTGATACATTTAGACTGCTCAAGTAACTTTCCTTCCAACTGAAATACAGGATGATAAATGTAAACGAGGATCCTGGTCGATGTTACTGGTAGGTCATAAAAACTTCACCTGTGACAGGTTCTGTGAGATAAACTTCACATGTAGATAAAAAAATAGACAATTGTTTTGCCTCATTTGACTTAATAGAGAAAGGTCACATTTAAATGTGGAAGGGTTAAGTTATCCATTACCACACAAGAGTGACACTCAATCTAATATGTACATAATGCAAGCGACCAGAGTGCAGCTACAAGGCCTATGGTAAGTCATTGATAATCATAGGGACATAGGAATGAGCCAGTAGGGTCTTAGCAATACTCCAGCAGTCACAGTGGGAGATACTAAAAATGAGGATCACACATTGTACCAAGGTGGGGAATCGAACCCCAGCCCTCTACATAACCAAACAATTTAACCAGTAAGCTACCCGACTTCTCTTACAAAAGTTGGACTGACTGACTGAGTTTTGTTTTACGCGCCGCTTTTAACAATATTCCAGGAACATCACGATGGGGGACACCAGAAATGGGCTTCACACATTGTACCCATGTGGGGATTCGAACCCGGGTCTTCTGCGTGACGAGCCAACGCTTTAACCATTAGGCTACCCCACCGCCCCTATAAAAGTTGGAAGTGAACGGTGACAATAAACATTTATGTATAACAAACTTCTTTATTGGTTATGCTGCTTCAGGGCTACTTCTTTCACATGAATCTGCCCTGAAAACATTGTTTCACATTTAAGATGCTGTCATCCACAAAAGTTTCATGACATCATTATGCGACACTGAGGCTCTTAATGGACTTTGACTTACAGAGAAAATAGTCCATATTGGAACTGATCTTCACATACAACTTGTGTACCGTTCTCAACTATTTAGTAATAATCATGACCTTTAAAACAGTGTAATACATCTCTCATTATCCCTTTCACTTATCCCTTAATAATTTATGTTATAAACATCAAAGTACAATATTCTGTTATAACAAATTCCTCAAAAGACCTTAATTATTACCACCAGCATCATCAAAGTAACAATTATACAATGTCGGAATAATGTCTTGCTGCTGCATCAAAGTGGCAAGTCCAGTAAAATATATTGTTAGCATTAACCAGGGATTTACCTTGAGTCATGTATTTGAGGGTCCCTGGGACTCATACTCTTTAAGTTTCAGGGGTCCTTGACAACAAAATGGGGGTCCCAGACACTTAAATATTATAATTAATACTGTTATTGTATTGTGTATCACGATAATCACATTGTTACAGTAATTGAATTGCAAATAATACCATAACCCAACTAGTAGGAAACTCAGTGATAACTTATAGTCACTTGATGGAATTTTTACAAAAAGTATTTGGACTTTTTCTGAGTCCCAGAGGACGAGCTAATAAATTTTGTTGCGTCCATTGTCAATTTGTATGCGTATGGGACGCAGGATTACACGTCCTATAAACCCATGATTAACATCATCACAGACATTCCATTATCATGTTTATTTCTATGTCTTGTTGGCATAGAAGTAACGGATCCCTAGAATACCTCCACAGTACCAAAACGATCGATCAGTAGTCTATCTTGCCAAAAATTACTATGACTTATTTCAGCTCAGCAAAATAGAAATATATTTTACAAGACAAGGGACCAAAGTCACGGACTGAGGGTCCCTTTAAGTGGCTGAAAGTAACTTTCTTAGCTTCAACATGATCGGAGTACAGTGTCTCTTAAAATACATCTTGTTAGCATCATCATGATCAAAGTGTTGTATCCTTGAAACATCTTGTTAGTGTAATGGTACATTTTTGGTGCCCTCCAGTGACAACGGGTCCAGGAGCAACAAGGAATGCAAGCTCCTGGTATAGCCACCACTGCATGGCACTGTCTCTAGTATGTATACTATGCTGTAATAATTACTTGCCTCAGAGGAGACACACACTTGGTGCATCCCTGCAACCAAGATCATTTGGCATGCAGCCCATTTCAGCTAACTCTTTTTCATTTTATCTTCGAGAATATTTTTAAAGTCAAGAGATCATTTCCACCCATAGGTGACCTTTAGAAACCTTGTAAAAGTACAACGCCTTTAGATTTTTGATAGTTCAAATGTCAAGTGCTTATTTCCATGGAGTAGGATGTAGTAAAACGTTCAAATTCTAAACACAACAGATCAACATGATTGTACCCTGGTTGACCATAACCTGTTTCTGTAAGTTTTTGTAGCGAAGGAAATTCAATTCAGCAAAGACGTAATCTATGTACGTCAGTGTTTTCAACACACATATTCAGATGTCTCAAGAATAATCATAAGAAAGAAACATGTTCCGAATGTGCTAAGGTTAGAAAATCCTAAGTCATCTACCAGTGAAGGTATCATGGTTTTCACACTCCCTGAGATAGCAGTTTAAGGTGAAAATGAATATATATACTGAGTCATCTGTTATGATAGGCCATATATCAAAAGGCACATGTCACTCCTATGTGAAATACAAAGTTAACACACCCCTTCGATAACAATGTTTAACAAATACGCGGCGTGTAACATTCTCCAAGTGTGTATCAACAATGGGAATGGTCGACTTATTCATTCTGAATAAAATTGTGCAACTATGTAAAATTTCCAATTACGAAGGTTAATATATTGTTTTGTTTACATAAGACCGCCCATCAAAATGCTGACAGCACGTTGTTTTGGATTTAACACGAATGGACGGCCCGACTGTTGTATATTGAGTTGGTGATGAGGGTATTGCAGCAGAATCATTTTCACGTAGTTCACCAGCACTCAACATGTGAAATGCACATGCAATAAAACATTCTGACACATGCGAAGACGATTCAAACACATCGTGCTCCGTATCGGTACGATAATATTCTCACCTTATTATTTTCCAAAGCCTCCGCGGAATGGTTTTCCTTAGCTCCGAAGCAGTTTTGACACTTAGTCTTATTGAAAATGTTAGGCACAAACTTTCGACACTTAGAAGCCATGTTGGGTGTTTACATTCCAAATGGGATGACCACAAGATATTGGCAGGTAAACCTGTCACCAAGCTTTCACACGCTCCGACATACAGGTAGGTTATGTTGCATCCCACATAATCACATAAACAATCAAGGTAAATATCATCAACTGCTAAAAAGCCATCTTATATTTCCGTGGAGGAAAAGCCAATCAAAGAAAACAACGCCGGACTTCTGACTGTCCAGTCGCTATATTCCGACAGTCTATTGCGGTCTTCAGAAGAGTAATTAGCGGAGCGATCAGGAGAGAGGCGGTCGACCTCGGAGGCAAAATATAGTTCCGTGCTGTCGTGGTAGTTGTGCAAAAACAAATGGTTTTGTGAGTTTAGCTGAACATCTGATGGGGTTATGGCAGGAGTTCTACTTGTATGGCATAATGTATAGTGTGACATATGCGTAAAATGCGTGCCGACAAAAACAACGCGCATTGATACGGAGGAGCGTCTGTCGTCACAAAGGGCAGATAATAAACTCAATACTCTCAGGGCGAGAAAACTGGGAGAGAGCTAAAGGATCGGCTCACGTTTCTTAATCTCTTTTTCAATGATAAGGTATTCGGAAACACCGTTACGACATAAACAAGAGAATTATCACTGACTAGTTACACGTGGGTGATACCCCCATTGGTGATAGATAGGTTTATTAATCTTCTTCCATTTGTATTTTTGTACAGCCAAAAGTGAGTGACATTGTCACTGATAACACTATGTGTTGAAGTTTGAATTCAAATTTAAATTTACATGATAAAGCGTCAATCCTCAGTTATGTTTACATTAAAAACACCATGTTTGTAATACACTACACGTTAAACCCAAAACATGTAAGAACCAATAGTTAATGTATAATGAAAACATGGACGATTGCGTTACAGTGTATAGTAACCCGAGAAACTTAATATATTGCGCATAATCTGATATGAGAAATTATGTAAATGTCATGGTTAAAATATACACAGGCAGAGATTCGTTTTAAAACTGACAGTTATGGTGTGTACATCTGTAAATCTTCTAAATTCGCAATAAATCCAGTGTTGTTGGTTAGATAACGTATATTTTTAAGTTAATAACAGAGGAAAACAATACACGTGGAGGAAGGAAGATAAGTGGTGGGGGCGTGGTTGTCAAATGAATTACTTATTTGACTAGTTTTTTTATACATTTCAAATTATTAACTGAGATATGCTCGACAATTCACGACATCTTGTGATCTGTCGAATGAAAATAAACATATTGTTTTATTTTGCCACAGTGTGTTCATGGATCAGGGATTAAGATGCATGTTGCCCTATCCGCAATCTGAGTGATTACCATCCTCATGCGTTGTACAAATGGAAAATGTCAAAAACATACCAATTAACTCATACTCAACATATACAACATATACAACCACCAAGACAGTTATCAACACGTAACAACAGACGGCTGACTGACAATGGACTGTGTATATTACGCAGGTTACCTGTAAATGATGCACGTTTTCACCTGGCAATGACGTAGGTCCCCATCATATCTCAGGTGCTTCATCTTGGCTATAAATTGTTACAGATGAGTGTCCAAGAGCGGATGCTGGCTTGTGGAAAAGCGGGAGCGGTTTTGTCATGTGTTATTGTTTTGCTTTAGTCTTTTGTATTTACCATTAAAATATGTTTAGGTCGTATGGTGGCGGTCTGTGTAAAGTCGAGTCTGTGGCAGACAATCCAGTGATTGATATCCTGAGCATCGTTGTACAATTCGTTTTCGATGCCATACATTGCCATACAGTCAACCAATTATAAGTCACCAGCCTAACAATCATTAAGTCTCCTCATACGACAAGACCCGTAAAGATCCTGGTTAAAATTGATCTTCAGCAACCCATGCTTGTCGTCAAAGGCGACTAACGGGATCGGGCAGTCAGGCTCGCTGACTTGGTTGACACTTGTCATCGTATCCCAATAGCGTAGATTGATGCTCATGCTGTTGATCACTGGACTGTCTGGTCCAGACTCGATTATTTACAGACCGCCGCCATATAGCGGGAACATTGCAGAGCGCGGCGTTAAATAACCAACCAACCAACCTCATATATACGACAATAGATTCTTGAGGACCCATAGTCTAACTCGGCATCACCACGGCAGCTACTGTTATGAACATCCCTACAAATGATTTAGTCATATATGGTGTTATTATACGTGTATTACACACTCTACCATAGAATTTCGTAATTTAAAATGTACTGTGGATATCTTATTTTTTTATACATTGTTTGTGAAAAGAAGTACTTGTTACTTACAACATGCTTCCGCCGGATGTTAACTGAAAGCCCATATAATGAAAAGAACATTCACATCACATCTAAGTACAGCTGCGTTTGGGGGTATATTTCAAGCAGAAAATAGCATATCTTCTTAAGTTTCTATGATAAAGTTGAACTTGAAAAAATATTTTAAAAATATGTGCGCTCTTATAATATGTTTTTATTTTACTCAGACTGTAAGAAAGTTAACATTATGATAAAGATAACGCGCATTCCATAAAATCCAAATTTTCCTTTTCTTCCTTCAGAATTTAGCTGAAACATGTTTTCCATCATTTATACACTCCCGTTCAATACCACAACAAAGTCGACATTATTTATTCATTCCCGATGCAGACACAACTATCAATGTCTTGCCAGGGATATTGGTATGAATGTATGGTAAGCAATCGATATGCATCGTTTAGAGTGAGTGAGTTAAGTTTTACGCCGCTTTTAGCATTATTCTAGCAATATCGAGGCGGGGACACCAGAAATGGGCTTCACGCATAGTACCCAAGTGAGGAATCGAACCTGTGTCTTCCGCGTGACGAGCGAACCACTTGTTTAGAACCTCCCTTGTATCTACATTATATGTGAGTGGTAATGTTGGTGTCCATGTACAGTCATTATGACTGAACTAGTCTTCAATAACCGATGCTTGTCGTGAAAGCCATCCAAAGTGATCGGGTGGTCAGACACGCCCATTTGGTTCATGCATATCGTAGTATACAATTGCGTAGGTCAGTGCTCATGATGTAAGTCACTGGATTGTCTGGTCAAGACTTACTTAATTATGTACCGACCGCCCTCGTATAGCTGGAATAGCACTGAGTGTAACGTAACAGCGAACAAGCATGAGTATAATATCGTTACCTCACTCACGTTATATATGTGAGTGAGTATGGTTTTACGCCGCTTTTAGCAATACTCCAGCAATATCACGGTGGGAACACCAGAGATGGGCTTCACACATTGTACCCATGTGGGGAATCGAACCCGGGCCTTCGGCGTGACTAGCGACAGTATATAGAACATAATACTGGTCTAAGTGTATTATATAGTAGAATTGAGCTAGTGCATCGTAACAGCAAACAAGCATGAGTATAATATTGTATACGTAAGCCGAACACAATCGTTCCTTCACTCAACTTATACAGTAGTATATAGAACACGATACTGGTACAAGCGCATTATAGTAGAATTGAGCGGATGATGTGCCTATTTGTAGGCAGGTATCACTGGCATTTCCCCGCTAGACGAGATATAGATGTAATTATGAATTGTAACCGGCAAAGGAATTCCCTGTAGGAAATGATTTTGACCGAGTTTCTCCTCGCTTCGACGGCGCGTACACCGTGCACTTTTTCTCTGCCAAAGTGACATATTTATGCTCTCACGTATCGGCTATTAAGCTCACACTCAACAGTGCGACAGTCATAATGTTTCCAGTCCTCACAAAACCCCCATTATGTTGACACAATTGACTTAACTCCCGAAACCTGTAGACATTAATCAAATAACTAAAACAAGACAGCACTATATGCGTCTGTTTAAGACAATGTGGGTAGTTATATATATATATATAACGCCGCGGACGAGTCCGTGTTCAGCAGGAACCTGTCAATATTCCGTTCAGTGTCATATTTTTTTAACATATGTGTACTAAATACTGTTGGTTAAATGGCACAGACCCGTGAAGATCGGGGCTAGAATTGGTCTACAGTAACCCATGCATGTCGTAAGACTTCACACATTGTACCCATGTGGGTAGTCTGTCGTACAGACCCTGAAGCAAATATATCCAAGAAAGCCCACGCAAGTCTAGAAAATGTGTCAAGTCTCGATTTCCTCAGCTTCTGAAAATGAAGAAAGTCTCAGGGCTCCGTTTCATTATATTTATTTTATTTTACTATTATATAACGTTTTTCAGTAAAATATGTTCATTTCAGAGACTAGTTGTTAGTCTACCATGTGGGGAATCGAATCCGGGCCTTCGGCGTGACAAGCTAACGCGTTAACCACTAGGCTACCCCGCAGCCCCTGCGGATGATCTTTCATGGATAAATCCTTGTAAAGTCATGATTAGAGGGTTATACGCAATTATACGCTGTGATATTGTTGATATATCTGGCTGATATTCACATTCCTACCATGAACACTGTTCGTAAATGTCATATCACCAAAGTCTGGCAACGTCTTGTGTCATCAAAGGGGCGTGTATAGGCTTCGGCTAAATAGCAGTCACATTATCATAACACAGTACATTATCTGGCACTGGCGAACAAGTGAATGTTGTCTTGATTAAATACTTTAGACCGAAATTTGAAAATAATGCAGTATGGACTAGTGGTGATCCGATTAATTTAAATAATCGAAGATTGGTCGCAGTGACTAAACGACCAAACAATCGATCATGTTTTCTCATAATCGAACACAAACAATTCTGGAACACTTGTTTTCATCAACAATATTTTTCGCAAGGTTGGTTTTGTCTGTTACATTTCATAAGCACTACAAGCGTTCCAAGTCATGATTGAATTTATCTTAAAGACACCAAGAGATTTATGTTCCTAACATACTAGTCATACTTTAAAGATGTGAAATTTTTCCCCAAACCCCAAAATATCTACATGTTTTTTCCTTATTTTTGGTGCATTAACAAATTTCATAAATAACGCTAACCAATTATTTTCGATGATTGATCGGTGGTAATGAACCAATCATCAATTATGAGCTTTTAACCAATTCCCAACACTAATATGGGCACATTATATCTCTTCTACGTCAACTTCGTTGTGCACGTCATTTTGGCAAAGTGACTTCAAGAAATCAGCTCGTCAGTCAACAAATAAATCAACATTGTTTCTCCTCTTGTATGTAAGAAACCTTACATCGGACCAAGTGCATACTGATGCAGCGTATGTTTCGTGGAACGACTGCATTGGCTTTGCCAGTCAATCCTAGTTGACTTTATAACCAACCTTTCCTATAATCATTGACACACCGCATTGGTAAGATTGATTTGTTCAAGGCATTGATTTAACATTCCT